TCGGCACGCTGCATTGAGCAGCCGCGTTCAGTTTTTAATTGTAGTGTCTGTTCTTTTACTGAACTAAATGATTTATTTATTACTATACAAAAAAAAAAAAGACGGTGGGGGTCGGTGCCGTGGTGGGCAAGTGACGTAACCAGTGTTGCGGCTTAACACCGGTATCACCGTCAGCACCGTCTATCGCGGCAAGCCTAAAGACCATGTGTCAGACTGATGTTGAACATGAATGTGTGTTGAATATGCAGTTTCACAAGTGACCCGTGGGGAGCAGCATGCACAAACACTTTTCTTATCACTGATACTCTTATGACGGTCAGTGATAATGATATCGATACTGAAAACAGGACGACTGACCTTTACAGATGACTGATTTTTATAATCAAATGACTTCGTGCTGAAATGTTTGCAGGTAGCATTTGGGTAGGGCTTAAATGACATTCCTGACAGTGGTAAAAGGACAGTAGTAGTTTCCACAGCACACTAACCTCCTCACTAACAGGCTCAGACGAGCGGCTGATGGCTGACATCGGCTGCGGCTCGTCGGTGGACTCGTCAAGCTCGTTATCTGTGTACGCGCCGCCCTCATCCGCTGTATCCTCGTAATCGCTGGTCAGACGGCTGTCCATGCTCAGGTAGTCCGCGCTCATGGCCGACAGGTACGACATACGGTCATCATGGAGATCCAAGTCCTCCTCAGACCCATCAAGCTGAAACGATATACAGAAAACCCCTGATGATGTGTAATTTCACTTGTAAATTAAGACTGGCAAGGCATTAACATATTTAGTAAATCTTCTTTGCTTAAGGAGATAAAGAACTATGAAACAAAGCAGTTGTGTATAATTGTTATGTATAAATGCTGACCTTGCTTTCACAGACCCAGACAGCTTTATCTTGTTGCTCTCGTATGGCATCCTTGAGACTTCCATACCAGGCATCATGGGAAGAGCTCAGATCAATGGTAGCTGGACAAGGAAGCGTAATTTAGACATTTATAACTTTATTTATTTTTTAAGGAATATAATTTTTTATCATTTTATTTTTTATTTTTCTTCTATAATTGTATTTTAATTCTGAGAGTAAACCTCTGTTGTGTAGCACTTTGTTGGCCAAAAACAATAATAATAAAAAATAGATACATTTTCATTTGAGTACATTTTAAAATATGAATTGAATTATTACTGCATTGAATTGAATTGCAATTGAATGTTTTATGCATTCGTTTGATTACCTCTATTTTTGATAATTAAAAAAACTGTATTAATTCATAAATCCAGAAAAATTAAACATACTACCCAGAATGACTGAAAAATGTAAATATTTTATAGGGCACCATTTTTGTAAAAATGTTAATAAATTCAGTTGTTAAAGTTTCATGAATTCAATTGATTAGACATGCTTTATGATTAATAAAGTGTAATTAAACCATTAAAACGCAATGATGACAAAAAAAAGGAAAACATGCAATTTGGAAAAAATAAAACTCATTTCATGGTGCCCTATCTTGTCTTAAACTTGTAATAAATTGTTATTAAATGGAATTAATTAGACCTAACATTTAATTGAACCATCAACATAGAAAAAAAAAAAAAAAAAAAAAGCAAAAAACTGAATCTGGAAAAATAAAACGGAAAACACAGAATTTGAAAAAAAGAAATAAAATTTTTATTAAATAAATAAATAAGAACTTGAGAAAGAATAAAATGGATCTTATATGGTTGTAATTTCTACATTATCTGAGGAAAGACTCATCAGACTAACCAGTGAACAGGTGGGAGCAGGTTTTCCGCAGTTTAACTGCTTGTTCGTAAAGCTTGCGTGAACTGCGGCTAGAGCTGGGAGCCAGGCGGTTTCTCATGGTCTTCACTGCCTGCTTACTGTCTGGGTTGAGGAAAATGACGATGGGATACCACTGGGTGTAGTTTAGGGTGTCTACAGCCTTCGGGGTGACATCGAGCAGAGCGTGTCGATCCTAGGAACGAGAAAAGAATATTCTTAGATATTTATGAATTGTTGTTATGTACACACATTCAGAAGGGTGATTGTGGGCTGTTTACCTGCTCGATGATCTGACGGATAATATTCAGTCTCACAACACCAGACGACTTCTCTGAGCCCGCGTCTTTCGGTTCTGTCTCTGTCATGGGAAAAACACAGATCAAACCTTTCATGCACACATACACATCACTATATCTGAAGAGATCTTTCATAAAAGTTGTGAATGGCTTACTTGCTATGATAAACTCATCTGGAAGATCATTGCCAAGTTTTTCATTGGCCGCATCTGAAATAGGGCCGAATATTACGACAGGTCTTCTGAACCCAGCTGGTGGGGGAGAGATAAAAGACTTAGTATATAAACATGTCAAGTTTCTCAACTAAAATGACATAAAACAAAACAAAAAAAATTATATTGAAAAAAAATTATGTTTTTTAAATGTATTAAAAACAACAAAAACTGAGTGTCTCAAATAATCAACACTAAATTAATAAAAAAAAAAATGGATTAAACAAAATACGTTTTAATAACTAAAAAAATGTAAAAATTCATAAAATGCAAATATTCATAAATAAAAGGCCTGTATAAATTAACAAAAAACATGACAGGTGAAACTTCGTTTCTTTTATTTTCTTCATTTCAAATTTCAAAAGATTTTTTAAAAATATTTGTATTTATTATTTTCCTTTATTTAGTCCCAAAACATTCAAATGCATTTTTAAACCGAATATTAGGTAAAGGAATGCATGATGGGTGTACCTTCCCGCAGCACCACTCTCTCGTAGGCTGGGAAGCGTGTAGTGATGGGTGTAGCGCTCAGATCCTCTCTGCTCTTGCGAAGGTCTTTTTTCTTGGCTGCTCTTTGACCTCTCAGCCTCCAGAAATCTCCTCTGTCATTGGCAGTGCCTTTCTGTGCATTCTGAACATTCGCCATCTGCTCAGCTCTGATAGTATGCAAATAACATGATCACACAAACACCTAACAAAATAATGTGCTTTTAATGTCAACATGAAATGGCAGACTAGGTGATGTCAGCAAATGTCATTTCAGAAGGTCAGTTTTGATTCATGTTGACTTTAAGAGAACTTTTCCTCCTAGTAATACTAAATAAATGCAATTAAACTAATTCATAAAGTGAAGACATCTGCAGTGTGAGCCACTGTGTATTTCAGGTCGAATCACACGAGTCTCACCGGCTCTTGCTGGGTATGATGCCTTTCTCCAGGAGCTGATTGTCTTTGTCCATGCGGATGGCGAGCCAGTTACCCAGCTTTCCGTCATACAGGGTGTCCACCACTTTAAATATCTCTCCTCTGGAGAAGGTCAAGCTCTGAGGAAGCTCTTTCTCATATTCAAAATGAGTTCTGATGAAGAAGTTATCACCTCGTCCAGATGCCAGGATGTCTTTATACACTAAAATAAAACAAATCAGAGTCATCAGACAAAAAATGAAATTTAATTTAAAATAACTACTTTCTATTTGAATATATATATTTTAAAATGTAAGTTATTCCAGTGATGCAAAGCAGAATTTTCAGCATCATTACTCCAGCCTTACTGACCCTAAACTTTTGAACAGTTATGTACATTAATCTTTTGTATATTATTCTATTGTGTGTTTTGAAGTACCATCAGGTTTGCTTTGAGACAGGATGGTCACATCCTCTCCTTTGGGAATCTCTAGTAAATAGAGGATTGCGTCTTCCCGGACCATTCCTCTAAAATCCATATTATTCACCTGCAAGGAAAGAAAAACACAAATTACCACTTGACAATGTGGGAAAATGTATGACGGATTAAGCCACATAATATTAAAATGCAGAGCCAGTGATGTTGCACCTTCACAATCTGGTCTCCAGTGCGGAGTCCCTCTATCTCGGCAGGACTGTCCTCCTGAACGCCCGCGATAAAAATGCCCACATCGTTTCCTCCAGCAAGACGCAGGCCAACACTTTCGCCCTTCTGGAAGCGCACCATCATAGTGTTGGGGCTGTGGAAGATTTTTCATTAGAACCACAAAGTTGTCTAAATATAGTCAGTAGCAATAATCAGGATCCAAGCACATGATCCTTTATAACAGGAAAGTCTGAGTCAATCCAGTACAAACCCGTATATTTCCTGGTCCTCCAGACTGGGCCGCAGGGGAACATTTGGCAGAGGCTTGGCTTTCACTGGAACACTTTTTGGAGCAGCATTTACCACAGGAGCTGTATAAAAAAACAACGCACATCATCTGTTGCTTCTATTCTTCTGATTCTACAATTATGAGATCGAGGAAGTCTTGGAGTAATGCATTACATAATTTCATTTCCATTAACCCACTGTGGTGTAGAGGAACTGTGGTACCTGGAGACTCGCTGCGAGGCTCTTCCTTCTCTACAGGCGGAGGCGGGAGCTCCACCGGCGCTGCTCTGAACGGAGTCGGCATCGCTCCCATTTTAGCCAGTCTGTTAGGAGGCGCATCTCTACCAACAGAAGAAAATAACTTACGCCCTCTGCACTGGTTTTTCCGTTGAATGTGCTCTTAGTTCATTTGGAAAATCATCCTATCATGCTTCTGCTTCTTTCTTATCAGGTTTCTGATTAAGTTATATATTTGGCTGTTTTCTAGTTTTATTAGTTGAATCAAACATAAATGTGCTTTTTGTTTAATATTGTCACCAAAATAGAGTTCCTCATTGTTTTATGCTCTGATTATTAACTAAATTATTTAATATGAAAATGATCACCCTCTGAAATGTTAATTTGGCTAATGTAAATAATTTCTGCTAGTAACTTATAGCATCGCTATTTGTTTTAAAGGGTAGTTTGACTGTAGTTTAAATAGCATATAAATTATTAACTTTTAACTTGGCAAGCTAGTTAATTAGTAATTAACCAGCTACTTGGTAACACTTTACAATAAGTCCCATTAGTTAATGCATCAACTAACATTAAGTAACAATGAGCAACACATTTGTTAAAGCATTTATACATTTTTAATGTTAGTTAATATAAATACAACTGTTCATCGCTAGTTCATGTTAGCTCAGGTCCATTAAATAATATTAACAAATACAACTTTTGAATTTATTAATGTAATTAGCTAAGATAATAAATGCTTTCGAATTTTTTATTGTTAGTTCTATGTTAATTAACGAATGTAGCCTTATTGTAAAGTGTTACAGTAACTCCAATGTTTGGAAACTATAATTGGTGACAGTTGAAGTCTGAGGGTACGGCAGTGTATTACCTGTTTTTGTCCTGCAGTCTCTCATTAGAGGAGTGTGAGGAGAGGTCAGAGTGATGACTCCGCCGGTCCTCCTGAGGAGAATAGGAGCGGTACGACTCGATCTCTGAGATATCTGCAACACACAGTACATGTCAGCATCACTAGAACAAGACACATGCTTTGAGGCACCATTTATATCTGCAGTGCAAACCTGAGAAATATAACACCAGCTACTAATTAAAACCAAATTTGTTTTCCATCATTCTTATATCTTACATTATTTAATCTAAAAACCAATACAGATTTTCAGAAGAACATGAACAAACAACTTGCAAAACATAGGACAAGTCTCGCTAGAGCTTATACAATGACATTTTTCATAAACTTTGGATTATGGGTAGGGTTTATGTAATCCTCTCAAAGCCAAAAGCTTTTTCTCTCCAATCCAATGACAGTACAGCAGTTAAAAAAAAAAGTAAAGAGGTCAGAGGTCACCTAGAGATTACGGCTGGGTTTTGCCAAATACCTCACGATATCATACATCTCTTTACACGTGTCACGAGGTAATTATACATACACAAACAATATTCAATCAAACAATAATTAATATCAATTATTGTTTATTAAACATTTTAATTAAATGAAATATATTGATGCAAAAATTTTAAGTACTGATGCTATTTAGTGAAAAAAAATAATATTGATATGACTGTATTGGCAGCCATAACAGAACTTAGAATCATCCTAAAATAAAAAAACAAGGTTTCTCACACACGCAGATAAATGGAAACTGTGTACACAAATGTTTGTTCAATCAAATGCTCATTTAGAATGGGAATGTCCCTCCCCTAACAGCAACAACAAACAGAAAATCACTTCACTTCGATATGTCCCACTCCAACTTTCTGATTTTAATCAACAACGGCATTTGTAAAGCCACTTAAAGATGGCTTTAATTCAATCAGAAATATTGTGATTGATCATCCGCAAGTGTGTTTTTTTGATCCACTCACCATCCATTTCTGAGTCGCTGTCTGCCATAGGTGGGACTCGGATGAGCACCTGACTGCGATCCCTCTGCACCACCAGCTGCAGTTTCCCACGAGACTTCTCAATCAGCTTCCCTGCGTCGCTCAGAGACAGGTTCTCTGTGACCGTACCGTTAATCTGACACACCAAATTAAGCATCAATAAATAACTTATAAAGTACAACAAATCTGAGAAGAAAAAAAAACATTTAAAAACTTCCATTCAAAAGTTTGTAATTTTTTGATTTATTCTTTAAGGACCTGATGATCAAAACACCTCTGTAGTTACACCACAGTGTTTGTTTGTGTCTGTGTGTGTGTGTCCATGTTTTTCTATCCAGGTGGGGACTTAAACCTGAATCCACACTGACTCATGGGGACTTGTGACCCATGGGGAAACAAGCTTATAAATCATACAGAATAAGTTTTTTGAGAACTTAAAAATGCAGAAAGTTTTCTGTGAGGGGTAGGTTTAGGTGTTGGGTTGGTGTAGGAATACTGTTTTCAACACCGATAATGATCAGAAAAGTTTCTCGAGTAACAAATCATATTAGAATGATTTCTGAAGGATCACGTGACTAGGGCTGTCAAAATGGCTGAAAAACTAAATTCGAATTTTTTACTTAAATATGATCAAAATTCGAATTATATTCGAATTTAAAATGCATATTTCAGTTAGGGTTGAAGAAAAGCTTTTGGCTTCTCTCCTGAGGCCACAAGAGGGCGCATCGAGCAAAATATTACTAATGCATGTTTATTCAAAGCAATAAAATAACATAACTATCTGTGTAAAAAAGTGCATAATGTTTAAAATAATGTTTATAAACCAATTATAATTAAGTTGCTTAAACAACTATAAACAAAACAGCATCATCAGTGCTCCAGACTTATTCTTCCCAGTGGTCACTCTTTTGCGACTAACTTTCTCAGTTGGTCGCATGAGCACATGATTTGGTCGCAAATGTTTTTTTGTTTGTTTGTTTTGGGTTTTTTTTTTTTTGCTACAACATGGGATTAATTAATGCATGCTGATTAACTTTTAGCATAGTTTATAGTTGTATGGAAACGAAAGAGGTTAACGTTCAACTTGTTCTTTTTCATTAGTAGTATAATTTGTGATTTGAATTTTGTGAACGGGAGATCCTCTTTTGCTGATATAAGCCGCAGGCTTCGGATGCTTTCGGTTTTGAATTTGCAATCTTGTTGTCACGTTTTACAAGAAAAGATAATTGTCTGTTTTGCTTACATCTATACCTTTCACTTTTTAAGACTAAAACAAAAGATGGATTCATTGTTATTCTTAATTAAAAAGCACAACAACAAAACAGTAAGATGCAATGACAAGCTTACAAAACGTTTAACAAAAATGAATAAGATGAGGCATGGCATACACCACATGCTGAATTATATACAGACTAATAAATTACAGACCGTTTAGCAAACACTGAAGAATCAAACAAAGAATAAATAAAAGAGAGCCTCCATAGCATATCGTGAGGTAAACCGCAAAGATAACGCAAATGAAAACAAAAAGAAAAGTAAGACTAAACTTGCTGTCGGTGACAGTGATTGCATGTTTTTTTCTCCCCCACAAGAATACCAACATGTTCACCTTTGGTTTAAGAAACGGTCTTTTACTTTACTTTAGCATGAAAACCATCCATGGTTTCCTCAATATTCGCGTCATTTTTGCCGCGTGCACCTTCGCGCTCGTGCTGACGCTGTGAGTATAAACCAGGCTCTACACTGAGCGCGGCGCAATTCAAACGAGTAGCGTGGTTTCGTTATGCTTTCAGTTTCGTTTGATGTTTCTCACATGCAACAGAAATGGCAGCGCTTATGAGTTAAACAACGCGGTGGTCGCGCTCACAAAATTTAGCCGCCCAGGCAGAAGAAATTGGGTCGCAGTCTGGAGCCCTGAGATGTATGTATGCATAGTTTAATACAAAGGGCTGAAAGCCAATCACACAGAGTACATTTTTCATTTAAAAACACGAGTTGCAGTGGGATGGGGGAAAAAAACATGAGGCTCTCTTGTGCTAGACGCAAGTGCAACGGTGATAGATGTCCCTCTAGAAAATGCGCGAAATATTCGTTCTGTGTGAACGGCTTGGTTTCAGTTTTGACGTAAACAAGATCTTCTCGGCATTGATGTTCTCTTTTCCCACAATATTTGTAATTAACAACGCAGCAGCGCCGCATCTAGTGGCTTTAACTGGATAGGTTAACAAAAACATTAAAATGCAATGACTTTACATCGTCATCGCATCTCGTGCACCACTGATAAGGCTGCCTCCTTAACGCACCCCTAAAATTCGAATGCAACGTTTTTGCATTCGAATGAGGATTTTTATTTTAAATTCGACGAATATTCGAAATTCAATTTTTTTTTTTGACAGCCCTACACGTGACGCTGAAGACAGGAGTAATGATGCTGAAAATTCAGCTTTGATCACAGAAATAAATTATATATTTTTTAAATAAATTCATATAGAAAACAGTTATTTTAAATTGTAATAACATTTCACAATATTACTGTTTTACTGTATTTTTAATCCAATAAATGCAGCCTTGCAGGTGAGCATTAAAAAGTTGCTTGGTGAGCAAAAACATCAAAAAACAAAAAAAGTTATTTCAGTGCAAAACACATTGCCACAGTGCAAAGGCACTGCAGTGTGGTTGCTAAGTTGTTCTGAGTGCTGATGTGAATGGTTGCCATGGAATTGCTATACGGTTGTGGGTTGCTTCTAGAGCTTTGCTATGAAGCTGCTAAGGTTTTGTGGGTGGTTGCTAGGGCATTGCTATGTGGTTGCTAAGGTGTTCTGAGTGGTTAAGACGTACTTTCAGAATGATGTCACCTTCCTGTAGTTTGCATTCTTTGGATGCCAGGCCTGTGCTCGTCATCTCTTTGATGAACAGCTGACTGCCAAGACGAAGGCCATATTCTGGATAGATGTGAGAAAACATCATGTTAGTGGTTTGGCTGAAGGTCGAAACTGGAAACAGATAAATGAAGGTGGTACGTATCTACCGTCATTGGGGCGGTTCTTTAGAAGAGTAACATTGAGCGGCTTCTCCAAGGGTTCGTGTCGTTGTGGTGGTGGTGAGGGCGAGTGATCCAGCCGGTCTCGACTGCTACTCCTCCTCATGGATTCATCCTGGCGCGGATCCAACCTCCTGCGCTCGTGGTCGCTGGCTAAATTCTCTCTGCTGAATCCCAGAGCTGGTTCTGGCCTGTACCGCGTATCAGGACTATGTGATCTGTCCAGCGTACGATCGCTGCGGTAATGTCTGTCTGGACTCCGCTCTCTGTCCAGGTTGTGTTCGCTGCGATAGCGTCGGTCTGGACTGTAGTTGCGGTCCAGCGTGCGATCGCTTCGGTAGCGGCGGTCCGGACTGTGGTCTCGATCCAGGTTGTGGTCACTTTGGCAACGGCGGTCGGGGCTGCGCTCGTGGTCCAGCATTCGGCCGCGGCTGCCGTCTCGTCTGTACTGTCTGTCAGGGCTCACGCCGCGCTCCATACTCCTCCTGCGACTGCGCTCATAGTCACGATCGTGATCATCCATGTAGCCGCGGTCGCGCTCCAGACTCGCGTCAGGATCAGGGTAGCTGCGGCCGCTGTAGACGCTGCGCCGGTCGTGATCATAGTCGTAGTCGTCATTGTAGTCGCCGCTGAAGACACGGTTGTCTGGGGACGGCCCACGTTTGATCACGCTGACGGGAATTTTTCTTGATCTCTTTACCGTCTGATGAAGGATGGGGACAAAAATGAAATCACTCATTCATTAAACTCTGATTTCACCTGCCAGTGATTTACAAACATGGCCAAAAAAATGCTTGATCGAAATAATTCAAAAGGTTACACTCACGATTTTGGCTACTTTGCCACATTTGCGGAGAGTCTGCACTGCAAAGGTGTGTTGGACACCGTCCATGGGCACATTGTTGACCTGGATCACTCTGTCATTTTCACTGTACCACATCATGAAAGACTGTTAGAAAATGTCTCTACATTTGAGAAAATGGCTTCAAATCCTTCCAACAGTTGAGGAATTATCAGAAGTACCAGCATTTTGGTGCTGACATTAAAGTCTATATTAAAATTCGAATAACAAATAAAATCTTTAATAATTGATAGTGTTGGCAGACAGCAAATGAAAAGCAATGCAATGCAATAAAATAAAACTTTATTTGTATTTTTGATATTTGGGTTTATTTGTCAATTGCTTATAACTAGTTTCTTGCATCTCTATTACTGACTGTTTACTGTGTGAAATATTTTTGAAATACTTGAAGGATACATGCCAGTTTCATTTAAATTTCTTTTGTCAATTTTAAATAAAAAGCAATATAATATATATACTTTCATATATAAAAATATATAATTTACATATTTATCTTGTCAAATAGAATTAGTGCATTGATTAGAATATTCACTTTAGGATTACAAATCTTTTAAAAAAGGTTGGGATGTGTTTAATATTGTTTCATAGCTTACAATAGCAAGCCATCTGCAGGACCCCCTTGCAGCACATCGGAAACAACAATTAACGTTTCTCCATTTTCTTCGTTTGGGTTGTCCCGCCCTCCAGACACAGCAATGCCAAAGCCCATCTTGGAGTCCTATAAATAGGTAAAGAATCTTTTGCATGAATCCGTAGTAGTGGTCGACCGATATGGGTTTTTTGACAGCCGATGCCGATATCTTGGAAAGCAGGGTGGCCGATGGCCGATATAAAGCCGATATAATTTTATTTATTTTAATTAATATTTAAGAAATTTGAAATCATTTGAAAATGGATTAAAAAATAAATTTGTAAAATAAACATACTTATAGGCTACTTTAGATGACAAAGCATTTTTCACAAATAAATATTTAATAAAAATATAATTAAAAAGGAAGAGCCATTCAAAGATTTGTTTAAATGATGTAAATGCGTATTTGCTGAATGCTGACGGCAAACGAGAAAGTATTATAATGTTTGCCTTTCTATTACTAATAATATAAAAGCAATCGTTATAATACTTTTTGTATACATTTTAATTCCTTTGTTTAACAGTTCTATCGGATTATTAGACAGACTTCTATCCGTATTAGACAGAACTGTTAAGGACGACGGCGAGCAAGAGGGAGAATGTGAGCACTGTGTGTTCAGGCGCTGCCGTTCTCAGCGCCGTCAAAATAAAAGTCCCGACTCGAACGCATCGGCCAAACAGAAAAACTTATCGGCCAATGCCGATATTTGAAAAATGCCAAATATCGGCCGATATATCGGTCGTACACTACTCCGTAGTAGCCATTTATTCATTTACAACAATAAAACACTTTAAATTCATGCAGATGTACAGGCAGCAATGACTAATTAACAAGTTAACCTGGAATTACATTTTCCTGCCTTTGGATGTAACAGTTATATCATCAAAACAAATATTACAAATTTATGTGTGATACAGTTCACCAAGAGGATGAAGCGATGATATGTTTTCTGCTGAGAGACAGCAGTGGTGGAAGATGTATGACAGTGTGCCCTACCGTTCAAAAGTATGGGGTCAGATTTTTAATGTTTGCAAAAGATGTCTCTTATGCTCACCAACAATGCAAAAGTCTTTACTGTAATTTCTGATAAATTGAATGCATCCTTGCTAAATGAAAGTATTCTTTTTTTTTTTTTTCTAAACAAAATATATCTCACCAACCCCAAACCTTTGAACGGTAGTGTACCTGCCCCTGCACTCAGATTGCACAAGAAATCTAATGCTAGAGGTGCAGAAATGACACACTTCACTTTCAAGGGGAAAACAAATCCTATAAAAACACAAGAATGTAAAGAATTTAATGAGAAACCAATAAGCAGGAACAGTACTTTAGCTCTCGAAATAAACATAGGGTGAAGTACTCACCCGCTGTAGGGTCACAGTGTACTGCTCCCACACAGTCTCCTCCATGATTGGGTTCTGAAACAGTACGAGCAGGTTTATATCTAGGACAGTGATGGACAGAGTCAAGTTACAGCAGATATCAGTGATCTCCTGAGCAAAATCTGCAGCGTGGTGCTGCCACAGTGAAAAAGTATACGAGTGTTTCTCTTCCAACCCATTTACATGAGCTCATCTGATTACTCAATGGAACGACTGAACTGCAGATCTGAAATATGTCTATATATTAAACCAGAAATGAATAAAACAAAAGAATTAAGAGATCTACAAGAATGAGCAATTTCATTAAAAAACTGACATCATATGTGGACTGCTAAAAAAACCTTAAACTTAAATGATTAACAAATGTATGGCATTTAAAATAAAAAGTCTACGTTATTTGAAAGTAATTATTTTAAAAGGAAGCCTAGTCATTGAGTTAAACACTATAAACATGGCCTTCAGGATCAGTCTGAGAGCCACGTGAAACGCCTCTAGTTACCTCTTCATCCACCTGTGCGAACGCTGGGTGATTATGATTGTTGCTCTTTAATCTTCTCAACTAAATATGAATCCCAGTGTTGCCCTAAATAATTCTCAACTCAGAGTCCACAACTCGCACAACCGATGCCTTTTAGCATTTCACGTATAAATGATTCCAATTTGTTGGTTTTCGTCACACCGTTACTGCACTAGTTAAATCAAACTAAACACTGCGACACCTTTAAGGCAATCATGCGCTCCTCATGTCATCATAATACATGCTTGCACCTCACTGATCATGTAATATCCATGGGTGTCACTGTTTTAAAAAGTGGTGAATGTCACAAATGAAAAGATTTAGGCTAGTGTTTGAGGTTATACACAAATAATCTATCATGATCTTTTACCATTTTGATATGTCTAAAGTTCATTTAAACCGCAACTTCAACAGTTTACTGACAAAAAAGAAATTCAGTGTACTATGTTCTCACTGATTTGATTCTCAATGATCAATTCGAGAGCTCAAATGATCTTCAGCATTTTTAGGTCAGTGGATTTAATGTCAGACATGACCCTGGTCTAGAGGTAATGTTTTAGTTGGAAAGCACAGGATTTGGGGTTCTATACTGCCCTACTTTGTATAATCTAAAAGTAATCTTTTTTTAAATTTTTATATGCTTTTTATTTCATGAATAAATCAAAATTGCAACTGTGGAAAACTGAGAATGGACAACCACAACAACAAAACAAATAGGCTATAACAAATTCCAGCACTGGATCACCACTTATTTTAGCACAAATTAACAAAATGAAAAATCCTGCTCAAAAATGTAACATTATTCCACATTATTTGATAAACCTTTGCTGTGAACAATATCAAAAAGTGGTGGGGAAAAAATCAGTCATGGGAAAAAGTTTGGAAACATGTTCCACTTGTTGCCACCGTAAACTATAAATATATATATTGCAACAGCACACTGAGCAATTGTTACACTTTGAAAGCAATTTTGTAACTTTTGCTAAACCTTGAACTCTACTCTCTTGAATTTCTACATCAAATTATAAAATGCATCAGTGCATGAAATGCAATAAAAATGTGTATTGCAATATCTCATACTGACAATAAAAATGCAACAAATCAATTAGGAAATGTAATAATTGTAATAACTATAATAATAACTAAAATTTCACTTTTTTCTTATGAAATATGACTCATTTCCAGTTGTCAAAATCCAACGCTACAGTAAATATCCTTCCATATATATTTTTTTTGACAATAGTTATGAATTTTACCAATATAAACAAAATATTACACTGCCACAATGTACTGCATTGTTTAGTAAAGAATCCCTAAAGAGTTTCCTACCCATACTTGCACTGCTACCAAACACTATGCCACTCCGTCTAATCAACCTACAGTATTGCATGCTGACAGCGGTTGAAAAGCCATTCAACAAAAACTTCACACTTCACCCAAACTGCGTAAGACATTAACAGGTGAAGTTGTACAGCGAAAGAACAGAAAGCGTGCTTACGATGCCCTGGAGGATGCGAATGGCCTTGATGGTGTGCGCCCATTTCCTGTGCAGCGAGAGGACCGTCTTCATGTTTTCACCTCTCCCGTAAACACAGAGTCTCTGGGCCAAAGCACATCACCTCTGGGCACAATGCATCTGTCTGCCTTTGACGTAAGACTGATGCCGCTGGCCTACATTCTGTGCAAATCCCACTGTCCACAGCGACCCACGGCAGCCGCGACGCAAAAAAAAACAAAAAAACCCCGGGGCAGGCGAGACGCTGTCTACTGCTGAGCTATTAATTTAAAATTCCATTTCAATTCATCAAATGATACGGCTCTATCTGGGTTGACATTAAAAGCTCTTTGCGGGTTACGGAAGGCAAGTGGCACCTTCAGAATGCCGATGCTTTTGGATTGGGATTTCTTTCTGCAACATGAGCTTCTGAACGTGCAAGAGGGACTGGTAGATCAGCAGTGATTTCATCGCATTTTAATTATAATTCAGAAGGATTATGGATTATGAATAATATATAATAAATATATTATTATATTTGAAGCACCTAAGTGCCATTATTTTCTAATTTGCGAAAACCGTATAGAATTGAATGCCATAAGTGCTATATTAGTAAATTGTGCAGTACTAAACATCATAAACGTTCTTTGATCTATAATAGTTTTCTAACTCAAATCTTATCCAAGACAGGATTAACGTGTGGCATATGAGCTGCCCTCAATTCTCTTTACTGAGATGAACAGAACAGATTACTGACGAATGATGTCAAATAATAGATTTCTCACTGTAACTAAGCTTGTATCATTGCGTTTTGTACAACAGCAGGTCTCTGAGCTCTCAGTCCAACACCACAACAACAGACTGACGAAGGCAACCTTGTACAACCTTGTTGTAATGGATGAATTGGAGTGGAAAAAATAAGCATACATTTGTGTTATTGCATAGTTTTGCTGATGATGATTTTTTATGGTTGAACAATTAAGAATGAGTATGTTTTGACTTGGTACTATAAACTACCGTTCAAAAGTTTGGGGCCTGCAGCATGTTTAAAAGTCTCTTATGCTCACTGAGGCTGCATTTATTGAATAAAAAAAAATACAATAAAATATTGTAAAATTAAATTTATTCCTGTGATCAAAGCTGAATTTTCAGCATCATTACTCCAGTCTTCAGTGTCACGTGATCCTTCAGAAATCATTCTAATATGCTGATTTACTGCTCAAAAAACATTTCTTATTATCAATGTCATATTTTTGTGAAAACCATGCATTTAAAAAAATATATTACTGATCTCTTTACTGTCACCTTCAATTAATTTAATGAATCCTTGTTGAATAAAAAAAACCCCAAACTTTTGAATGGTAGTGTATACAGGTGCATCTCAATAAATTAGAATGTTGAAGTATTCTAATTTGTTGAGATAGTGAATTGGTGGGTTTTTGTTAAATGTGAGCCAAAATCATCACAATTAAAAGAACCAAAGACTTAAACTACTTCAGTCTGTGTGCATTGAATTTATTTAATACACGAGTTTCACAATTTGAGTTGAATTACTGAAATAAATGAACTTTTCCACGACATTCTAATTTATTGAGATGCACCTGTATATACTCAATGAGACAATCCAATCCAAGTCAATCCAAAAGCCAAATCTTTACACTTTCACATTATAAATACACTTCATTAAATAAATTACTTGGGGTTACAGCATGAAATGATGATGATGACAGAATCAAGAATTTCTCATCAATAAAATTTCAAAAAAGTAACTTTGCAATTTGGCAAATTAAATGAGAAATTGACTACTTTTTTAACAAGTGCTCTCCAAGCCACAGAAATACAAAATGAAGTCAGCCAGTGTCAACTTTGTCCAATAGAGCCATGCAATTTCCAAGCAAAAACCAACTCATGAGGACCAATGAGCAATCCCAGCAGATATAAGTTATTGAAAAGGTCAGCACAAGGAAACCATCAATGACTGTGTTCAAAAACAACCGGGAATCTGCCCAGAACCGACCATGCAATAAATAAATAAATAAATAAAAATGTGACTGCTGCAGCCAGGAAGAACAACAAGACAACCTTTAAAAACATAGGACTTTTGCAGAAAGGAGACAAGAAGATATCTACAGTGCAAGACAAGTCAACAACTTAGAGAAACACTGTCTGGTCTTGTGACAGCAAGTATTTTTGAGCTGTGATACTAAACACCTCTAACAGGTAAGCATGGTGCTGACAGCATCATACTGGCAGGATATTACTGTGCGACAAGAATAGAAAACAACAGAAGCAAACATCTTCAATTTACATACATAATCTAACTACTACAATAGGGTGCATTCTTTTTGTTTTTATAGACACTGTAGCCATCAGAAAACATACTGAAAATTGTTGAGCCATCAGAAAACACTGAACCGTATGCGGTCTGCTGTTAGACAGAACAGAACAGAACAGACAGCAGCAGCAGCAGACAGAATTCCCTCTGCATTATAGATAAGCAGCTTTAGCTGTCTGTGTCCCTCAAAAAGACTGAAATCACTCAACGACGGCTTTCAATCCAAGTCCCATCATTTATGTTTCTAATAAAACACATAAAAAGTCTAATTTCAGATGATGCATATGAGACTTACTGTATGATGAACATTATGTAAAAAACACAGGTTTGGGTAAAGGAGTGTAAACATGGAAGAGGAGAAAAACAAGCTCTTCTGAGCTGCTCTGCTCTCCACGTGCGGTTTGGTGTAATAACAGAAAGACTAATTTGCAAGAAAATTATATAGAATTAAGTTCAGATACAGTAACAGCTATAATAATACCATATTATGAAGTGTTGTAGGTTGTGACAGATTCTGATGTTGGACTGGTGCGGTGGTCCCTCTGCTGGTGACACTTTAAACAAATGTCTCCGCAATTACTTTTTTTACTTTCAATAATAATTATGATTATAAACAATATTAAACAATTAATAAAACACACATTAGCTTTCCTGCGCTTACAGAAGCAAATGTTCCCTAAAGCTGTTTGTGCAAAACATATAATAGAATATTAATGAAAATAGTCCTCCAGTATATACTTGATTTATGAAAAACAGTCGTAGTGCTTCACTATATTTAATTAGTCGGTTTAAATATTTGATAGTATCTTTTATTCGTTAAATGTCCCCAGCGAAGAAAAACAGTTTTACGTACGTTTTATACGTAACGTAACGTGTTATATTCACGTTAAGATAATTATCTCCATAGATATCGGATTATAGGAAGTAGGTGGTCGTTCATGTAAGGTATACAGTAACAGAAGCAAGTGTGCACCTCAGAAAACAGAGTTTAAGTTAAAACGAGAAATTAGCATAAGCGAATAAGCGAACAGTTACTCACACGACAATAGTCCTTAACATTTCTACTCAGAACGAGCCGCCTCTCCACAACAACGGGCATCTCGCAAACTGCACTAGGGCTAAACTTTAAAATAAAGATATTTACTTGAAATAAAGAGATTAATAGTTTATGGTGAGTAAATAAAACGTATAGCTAATAATTCCGAAACCTCGGAAGAGCGACAACACAAGCGCCTAAACATTTAAACGATTGTACTGTAAATCCCGAACGTACTAATAAATCAGTGGGGGCGTTAATGATAGCCAGTGTATTTTAACCTCTATTGAATGTGCAACACTTTTTTTTTTACCTCTTTCTTCACATTACATTGACTGTACCTTGCCGCCATACGTGGATAAATGTGATTTGAGGAATTAAACAACAAGCAATGCTGCATTTCTTTTACAGCGTACCCTATGAGGTACAATGGACGGTTCCAAAATACCGGCGAAGGCTTAGCTCATGAATATCAATTAGGACGCGCTGGCATTGCTTAGCAACCTTACTGAAGCTTCCAGACCCTACGTTCCAGACACGCAACGTACGTAATTAATATTCATAAGTCAAGTCTTCCCCACTGTAGGATGGGAAAATCTCTCCAATGGTTAAAACGTGTGGAATTCCAAACTCCCTAAAGCCCTGCTCGGAAGAGATTAGTTTAACTTGGAGATGTAGGGTAAGGTAATAACTATCAGAGCCTTTTTGTGATTTTAATCTTGTCCGAATCGGACCGTAATTTTTATTATTGTAGCGTCTTTGCTATAAAGTAACACCTCGTTTATCTGGTTCTCGAGCTTCTGAAATGGGCGCTGGACACACAGAAGACCCATGCAAATGAAAGGAGGGGCTTCACAACTTATTCAGAGAGATAATACTGGCTGTTGCGAACGTGTAGCATGCTTTCCTCCGGCATTTTATCAAGCTGTCGCTTCAAACGCTTTATTTAAAAGATTCAGCATAATAAATTAAAATAAGCACACTAAGTGGGGGAACTGGAGGTTTATATTTCGCAACGGCCCTAAAAGGCTCCCCAAACGAGCGCATTAACAGCAAACAAGCAAATATAGATGCTCCAACAACCGTTTAAATTCATTCAGTGACTGTTTAGTGTAAAATACAGCTTTTACTTTACTTACAATCTCCATCAAAGGCTGGAACTGACTGTTAATATGCAACATAACTTCACATTAAAAAGAAAGACCACACTGGACAAAAAAGTACCATAGTACTACCCAGGCGTAGCCATCATTTCAGAAGTGAGGGGGACAGAAATGTTATTATGCGAACACACTTGCCCGAAAAAGTGCGGGGGACGAATTTACGTGATATTAAAAGTGGGGGGGACACGTCCCCCACGTAATCTACGCCCCTGGTACTACCATACAAAGTGAAATTTGAACTACATTTAATGTCACATGACTGTGGTAATTTCTCTCTCTCTCTTAAACACACACACAGAGAAAGAGAGACATTGGTGCATTTAAAAGACTCCAGGAAATCAAAATGTTTACATTTCATATTAGTAACATACATAATATAACTTTTCTACATATACTAGAAACAAATTAAACACTGTTTCTGTCTATTTTATGTAACAGGGTGGATATGCCTGAGAAACCATGTCAAAAATAACAAATTAATGTCAAATCAGGGAAGAACTCAATTTTAAACTTCCTCTTAAAAATATATGGATGTCAGTTCCTCTTCATAATTTTTGAGGTAAGTAGAGAAATTAAAAAGAAAAAGGTTTATATTCGAAAGCAACAACATTCATTTAGTGTGAATGGCAAACTAATTTTATATTTTGGAATAATAAATAAGATAAAAATACTATAAGATAAACATAATTAAAAGATCAATATAATTAGTATATATACACAGTATAAATTATAAAAATACCATCACATAAAATAATGTTTTTTTGTTGTTGTTGTCGTTTTTGTTTGTTTTTTAAATAAAACCTAATATAATTTAATTTATTTAAACTCGCAAAACATATAATAGCATATTTTAGTTTGGTGCATTATGTGTATATATCAATCCCAACTTATTGTTTGAATACAAAATACATGTCAACACGGAAAAATCTTTAATAAT